AAAAAAATTGTCGGTATAGACAGATTTTACTATGATGTCGTTATATCCAGATGTCGGTATAACCAGAGTAACGTGTATAAGTTACCCGGGCAATTGATTTACATCAGCCAATCAAACGAATGTCCGACTATGATCCCCGGCTATTGAACGGTTCTCTCTAAAATATCTGGATATAGCCGTTTATACTATGTATATACCCAGTACATACACGAATACATATTTTATTAGACCAAGATGTACCCTCCGAGTAAAATACCTATCAAAATGGTCTATTTGTAAAATACCCCGGATACTCAAGTCAGTGCTGTATGGTATAGAAAAGACATTATTCAATTACATTTATTTTTTTATTAAATTTTTTGTACGTATTATAAAAAAGCCATTATTCTATTACATTTATTTTTTATATAAATGTTAGAAATAGAGGCTGCGAAGAAAGTTTTCATCACATAGAATCTAGAAAGATTTTTAAAATTTAATAGTATTTTACAAAATGATGGCACCTTTTAAATATAAACATTCTAAAGATCCTCTGTTATTATATCTTATAGTGGCCAACTGAATACTATAGTGAACAAAATAGGTTTTAAACCTTATAAATAAAGCTTTTTTTTTTTTTTTTTATAAATAAAACGCAAAACATTTTTTTGACATTTGTTTATTGACCTGCCTTAAAAAAAGATTTACGTCGGTTTTAACCAACTCATTCGAAGTAAAAGTAATCCTAATTATAAAATTTTATAATCATTTATTCCAAAAAACTTCATAATTATTTGCCTCATATGTCCTGGAAAATCATCTATTTCACTTTGTTTTCTTTCTCTAATGATTTTCTTAATTGTTATTTGGTAACCTTTATGAATTATTTCTATTTGTGGATTATAACATTTAATAAATGCATCAATTGCTATCTTTGGATTATTATATTCTTCTTTATATCGATCCCATTCATAATCATCAAAAATCATAATTCCACCATCCTTTAAGAGATTCCATGCTAATATGGCATCCGCTAATACATTAGAAGCAACATGACTACCATCAATGTAAATAAAATCAAATTTAATCTTTGATTCATAGTTTAATTTAGTAAGTGCATTCAAAGATATACTCTTCAT